CTCTCTCTCTCTCTCTCTCTCTCTCTCTCTCTCTCTCTCTCTACAAGCACAGACACTTCTTCACAATGTCAAGGAAATATGATGGTTTTCTGGGAGTGGCCAATCTGGAGAGGCATTGGTGAAGCATTTTGGATCTGAGTGAATGGTGGGTTCTCTTCACTACAAACACCAGAAGATGAGTGACAGGGATATTACGGTGGCTGCACTGTGACTTTCCCTTTAAGACTTTTAATCGGAGTCTCTCCTCCAAGATATTTTAAGGTTAAAACATAATCAATGTGTCACCATAGGGTTACATTCATGCCGGAAGCTGGGCCCATGTTCTTTCCATACTTGCAAAAATCACAGCTTATTTATCAAAATGTAAAATTGGTGACATATGTCTCTAAGTGTCTTACACGCTACACACAGTGAACTATCTCATACCAGGCTACTGTCTGTGGCCCTAGTGTCTATTCACACAATTAAATAGGCATTGATGAGTGACATTTTGGTTTGATTGTCATTTATTCTTTTTTAAATACACACACTCTCTCTAAATACATGAAGCAGGCGTGATGAGAGTCCACAGACAGGCTGCGACTCTCAATGCCCTCCAAGCAGCCCTACCTTCCATCTATTTTAAATTATCACAGAAAAGCAAACAAAGAGGACAGCAAAAGGAGCAGTGCAGTTGTGACTGCCATCATTCAAGTCAGTCCCCTGACTTCCTTAAACACCCTAGAATTTGTTTACCTAGAGATGCTCTGCTACAGTTGACACAGACCATATGCGTACAACTCGACCATCAGTATAGCTTCTAGAAATATTCATATTGCACAGAAGGAGTTTCTTGCTGATTCAAAAAAAAGAATGGAACATCCATCCTTCCAGATCTCAATCTCCTTAACTGCTTAACACAGTCTAGAGCCTGGGTGGAAAGACAGATCTTGATTCAGACTGGCTGAGGGATCTCACAGCTCATCGGGCTATCACAGGGGTAATTTAAACTTGATTAATATTCTGCAAGTCCCTGTACCTCCCACTCAAGAGTTCCCCATTTTCTTTATTTCCCCCTGAGTATCTCAAAGTGCTTTGGAGAGCAAAAGTGTTTCTCTCCCCATTTCACAGATAGAAGCACGGAGGGCCAGGCTGCTCTAGAGATGAAGTGACGGTACCAGGGTGAAGGTTGGAGTCTTCAAGCAGGTGCCTTGCACACTAGTGAATGGAGTCTTCTGGGGGTGGACTCTGTTCTATGCCCCAAGGACTATTTTTTTATGGTTTTTAATAACCATCAAAGCACTCCACTGCATGGCTATGCCTAACTTGCAAATGGAGTCCAAAAGACTATCCCATCCCCAGTTGGATTCAAGGCACAGTCCTTCCCCTTGCATGTCTCCTGAGGGTGGGGGTAGCTCTCTGGGAGAAGAATGAGGCTCTTTAGCCATGCATAGCCTGAAGAAGGGTGGTAGTCTCTGCTGCAGCTGGTGCCCCAGCTTAGGAAGACAATTCTCCAAAGCCATGTTAGCTAGGCAAGTCCAGAGAAGATGGGTTTTGTTTTCTCCTTCTGAATCATGCCTTTCTCTCATTGACACAGTCTTACTGTAAGACCCCTAAGCGTAAAAAGAAATATGCTAAATGATTCTGAGCTGTCCACTTTGAATGCAGTATTGGTTTTCCCACTGCTCCTGAACATCCGAGAACTCATCTGCAATAGGCCAATTCTTCCCATTGCTCAGGTGGCTTATTCTTGCAGCAAAGTCTCTCTCCAGTTGAAGCCCCCAGTGGGTCCATGGGTAAGCGGGAGGATAGGTGGATCTGTCAGCTGCCATATTCCAGTTTCTCCCAATTCTTCACAGGAACAGAAGCCTAGGTATGGGATCTGAAGTCAGAGCAACAAGGAAAAGGGAAAACAGAAGACCAAGAGTTAATGCCTTAACCTTTGTGTTGACGCGAACACTCAAGTGTTTCTAGGGCACACAGGCAGAAATGTAAAACCTTTCAAGTCAACAAACAATCTTAAATGGACAGGACTGGTAAATCTAAGACAACAGTGCTAGTACCGATCAGCAGGATCTGGCTAATGGTAAGCACCCCTGCTACACGATTGCAGATTGCTGGTTGATAGTGTGGGAGCCGAGAATGGGAGCTTGCACAGTGCTACCGTAACTTCAGGGTTGCATTCCCGATTCCAAGTGGATGTCGGAAACTTGGACAGTATCAAACCCTGTATATATTTCCCCCCTATATTTACACATCTACAGTAAGGTTTAATTTATAACTAGACACAATAGGACAAACATCAGTAATAAATAAAACAGAATAGTTTTAACAATATACTATAATAGAAGTTATATGAATGTGCTCATGTCCCACCCTGCCAGTATCTTACTGTATAATACTGTATTTTCAGCCCACAGTTGACCTCGGGGTTGGGGAAACTAGAGCAATGCAATTGCACCAAGGATTAAATTCCAAATTGCATATCAAGTTTAAAAGGCGTACCAAAGATTTCTCATATTATATTTGGGCACGATGGGAAAAGTTTTTGAGTTAGGGTCTCATGCAGTCCATACTGGCCTTGAACTCATTATGCAGCTAAGGATGACCTTGAAATCCTGATCATCCAGAATCTATTTCCAAAGGACTGGAGTTATAGTCATGTGCCACCACACCTAGCTGATTATTAAATTAAAAAAGTTGCATCCCCTTTAATCCTAGCACTCAGGAGGCAGAGGCAGGCAGATCTCTATGGGTTTGAGATCAGAGAGCTACTGGTATACAAAGTGAGTTCCAGGACAGTCAGGGCTACACAAAGAAATCCTGTCTCAAGACCTAAACCAAATAAATAAATAAAGGAAAGAAGGAAAAGAAAAAAAATGTGTCAGCATTGTTTTGTGGGGAGCCCAGCACATGCACTTGTGACATTCAGAAACCACGGGCTGTCATGGCAATTCAGAGCTTATTTTTGTGTTCTGTGTCCAGAGGCACAGCCATAAACAAGAAAGCAACCTGAGCCCCCCCACCCACAGTAGCTTACAGACTAATGGGATGGATGCATGCCTAAGGGAACATTCTTTTTTTTTTTTTAATAAGAAAATTGTGATTGAGTTTGAATTAGGGTCTCTGTTGGAAGGGAAAGGAGATAGGATTCTCATCTGAAGAGGTGTGTGGGGGATGTGGCTGGTGGAAGAAACAGGCAGAAGGAAGAATCCAGACCTGAGGGTAAGGTCAGTCTCCTGGGGCTTCTGTCCTGTCCTGGCTTATCTTTCAGCCTGGTTCTCACAGGCTGCACTCCCTGGCCTGCCTGTTGAGCCCTATCTTCAGGCTACGATCTCGGCTGTATTTGTACTTGCCTCTGCTTATTCCCTCATTACCTACAGTTCTTAGCTTCCTCCATAAAACCTTTTCCTCTTACACAGTCCTAATCAAATATCCTACGGAGTTCCACTGAACACATCTTGGCTGAGTCAATCAGTAAATGAATCTTCCCAGCTCAGCAGAAAATTCTGCTTCAGGGAAATTAGCTATCAGCCAGTCACTGAACAGTTACAAAAAAACAAAAACAACAACAAAAAAAAAAAAACACCGCAAAGTACCACAGGTCCCATAAATGCAAGAGTGAATTACCTTCCTGACCATTTGTACAAAGTCCTTGGAGTTCTGAGGGGACAGGCCTTGGAGTTGGCAGGTACAGGCTTCGAGGGAAGATGCATGGGCTACAATCAGAATGTTGTTTCCTAGGAAATGAGAGAGGCTCATTACCCCAACTGGCTCACTATATACCACATACACATATTGAGATCACATTGCACTCTATAAATATGTATGATTAGTGTATGCTAATTAAAAATGTTAAAGAAATCTAGGGTTAGAGTTCAGTGGTAGAACATTTCTAGCATACATAATGCCCTGGACACTGCAAATAAATAGGTATATTTCGGGGAGGAGAATCTACTAAAACACACTTCTTTTGAAAATGTTCATAATAGTATTGAATACCTTGTATGTCATAATAATATCTAATATCTTCTATGATAATTTAAAAAGAACTATGCAGTTGGATTTTATTTTACTTTAGCCCTACATTGGGATGACAAAATGTACTTGGTTCTTTTAAACTCTTTACTCCTTAGAGAGCCCGCCAGCCAGCTCCCAAAAAAATCATTCGAAGTCTTATCAATTATTTATAAATGCTCGGCTAGGCTTGGATTATTTCTAGCTAGCTTTTCTTAACTTAAATTATCCCTTCTACCCTTTGCCTCTGGGTGTTTTACCTTTTCTTACTTCTGTATACACTTTTACTCTTACTCTGTGGCTGGTTGTGTGGCTGGCCTCTAGCATTCTCTCCTTATTCTTGTTCCTCCTTCTTTTTCTCCTATTTATTCTGTCTGCTAGCACTGCCTATCCTTTCTCCTGCCTTACTATTTGGCCATTCAGCTCCTTATTAGGTATTTTAGATAGGCAAGGTAACATAGCTTCACAGATTTAAACAAATGCTCCACTGCATGAACAAATGTAACACATCTTAACAATAATATTCCATAACAGAACTAAAATTATTTTCAAAAAGAAAAAGTAGAAATAATTACAGATTTATAGGAAGTTATACCCTTATACCTTCTGGAGTTAGGAGGTCTCACATCTCTTCACCCAGCCTCCCCCATGATTCCATGATGGTTTACCATCAAAAACATGGAAACAGACATGGGTACAATTCACAGCTCTGATCTCACCAGGCTCATCAACACTGCTTTGTGTGTGAGCATATTGTTTTGGTGATACCCTCACACGTATATCTCTGTGAAACTATCACCTCAATTGAGACACAAGCTTAACACTCTACAACTGTAGGTTCCCTGAGCTAGCCCCTCTAATACAGTTTTAATTGTCACAACCTCAGAACTGTGAACATTTGAGACCTCATAGTTGAGAGCATGCCACATGGATCTCCATGGTAGTGAGTAGCTTATCAGTAATAACCACAATGTTGGAGTCATCCATCCTCAGCTGCCCATGACTACCCACTGTTAACATTTGTGTGTATGTAGTTGCAAGTTTTGCTCCCTGAGTATAAATACATTAACCTAAAGCTCATGGTGGGTAGTTGGTCCTACATGTCATCAAGTATTTGAGACCAGTCTCTAAGACGCAGACAGACTTGAGCCCTACCCAACACTGCTCTTTGCTAATGACAGCAGGGACAAGGAATGCATTTCTGTGGGTGAGTCTGTGTGTAGATGTCCCCATCCTGGATCATTGCAGGTAAATGGTATTCTATTCTGGAAATCATAACTGGGCATCCTTTCCATAGGATACAAAATGACAAGCTACAATGCAGAGCCCAGATTACTTAATGAAGTATTGCCATCTACTGGGTTCCTGTACAATACCTACCCTGTTAGATCCTCCTAGAACATCATAAATTAAATGTGAAAGGCTTTACAAGAGAGGCTGGGAACATTTTTCTTTCCTATTAAGTTTGAAAAAGCAAATTCAAACATCCCCAACAGTTATAAATCACAGAGAGATGTTCATATATTAATGGAGTCCTAAATCATGCCACCTACCTTTGCTTTTACATTCACTTATTATCTCTTTTGTCACCTGGAAACTTCTACTGATGTAGGTGTCATAGGATTCGGATATCACCAATTTGCTGACTGGAATGTGAGGTCTACAATGGGAAAGTGAACAAAGGAAAGGAAACATTTTGATATTCTGATCCTGAGATAAAGGAATGATATCACTCTAAATATTTCCAGATCTCTTGGAAGAGGCATATTTCTGTTTATCCATTTCTCTGGAAAGGAAGGAGGTGCAGGGAAGAGAATTTCCATCAGGCAGACACTGAGGTCTAAAGGTTATAGTGTCACTCACAGAGACTCATTGGAAAAATGAGGCATTCAGTGAATGTCTTACCCACAGGGACACACACTTACACAGATTGCATACTTCTCTTGACATTACTGGTCATTGAGGGTCCTAATTATCTGGCCAACAGGAAGCAAGGTGAAGACTGGCTCTCTCTGAATAGACACTTGGAGTGCTCAAGCTTTCCTTGGCAGCTTTATTCACAATGAGCTGCAAAGAAGCCATCCATCTCCTTGTGAGCCAATGAAATTTCCACCAGCCACTGCTTACTCTTTGAGTCTTTTTTTAAACCATGCACCCAGAACCATGAGAAGCCCAAGGGACATAAAGATAAATTCATTTCTCTACTTGAGAAGCCCTCTGTATGGACCAGGTGGGGAGGTGATAGATGGAAACCATAATTGTGAGACAATCTACAAAGGAATTTAATAGGTGAATCAAAGTATTTATCATGTGACCAGTCACCAATATCCATAGGGCCCACCTTGGTCTGTTTACACCTTCTTTGTTTTATGGAGTTTCTGTGTGACCAGTCACCAATATCCATAGGGCCCACCTTGGTCTGTTTACACCTCCTTTGTTTTAAGTCCATGAGTATTTGTCTTATCTTTGTCCTATGCCCTTTTCCATTTTCTTGTGTCTTTAATTGTTGAATGTGTGGTGCTTAGTGCAGGTGGTGTCAAGCCCTCAAAATACACATGGCATCTTGATTATAATTTTAAAGTCACTACCGTTAAAATTAGTATGAAAAATATTTGCCCCCATACATCAGGACTCTCTGAAAGTGCACTGCCTGCATTCTTCCAGTTGTCTGCCCAGCAACACTCGCATAAAATCGGCTTGAGGTAACAGCTGACTTGCTCCAGTCTTCAGCTACTCATAGAGCTGAGATTGAATCTGTGTCTTGGATGTGCCTTGTGAACTGGACCTCTTACACAGAACAACTTCCAATAGTGTTCTCTTCAAAGCCACCCATCACATCTTGGTATGCTGGCAAAACCTGAAATTTCAGCACTCACAGGGCTAAGGCAGGAGAACTGACCATGGAAGCTGAAGGCGCCAGCCTGGGTTACATAGCAAAATGCTCTCTCAAACAACAGACTAAAGAAACAAACAACCAGTCAACCAACTAAACAAATAAACAATCGGTCAACCAACCAATCAAACAAAAAACCCAAAGCCTGCCCATTCAGTGCTCTTTCTTACTATCAGGAAAGCCAGTTCTGAACACTGCTGTGTTCGGAGGAGACTTGCGTTTCCTAATCTTCACTCACCAGGCACACTTCAGCCAGGAGGAAGGGTCCTGATGGCTACCGCCTGACTCTTCCCAAGGACATGTAGAGACAAGAATCATTATCACTTAAGGATGGACATCTTTGTGCTGGGAATGAATTCCTCTTCCTGGCCTTCTCTGTCCACCCTACCTCTGATGCAATTCCACTGTGGTTGATGCTATCCTGTCTCCCAGGAGCTCCCCTCTCTCCCCCATTCTGAAAACAAAAGGTCAGGGAGTCACTTCATGGGTGAGACCACATTGTCATTTGGGATTCGTGTAAATGAAAGATGGGATCCTACAACCAAGCTCTTCATCTGTTCTTGCCTTTGGCTTCTCTCTGCATCTTGAAGGATGTCCCGATGGCCATGGGGTAGAGCCTAAGTTTCTCCTATAATCAGGACCTATTGCACTGCTAACTACACCTACAAGGCCCTGTATCACCTTTAGAGTCAGGTCAGCTTCCAACCACTTACTATACCCAGAACTTAAGTGTGCTCTGGTGCTTCTCCCAGCACTCTCCTGTGGTTACCCTTTTCTCCAACCGGCTGGTCCAATCCATAGTGCAGGCTTTGCCTTAAGCTTCATTCAAAACTCACCCTACTTGCCCTCACATCTATGACCTCCTTCAGTCCTCTCTCTTCCCTAGTCCTCCCACTACAACCAAGTGTCAGGGCCCTTACCCTGCTCTGATGTCCTTCCAAGTTGGTAGAATAAATTGTTTTTGTTTTTCTCCCTTATATTCTTGGCCCAGCTCCCTAGCCTGCTTTTTGTACACAGTCCACAGGGTGCTCTTGTTGCCTGTGGATGACGCCTAAGTGATTCCCTCACTTAGCTTCCAATCCTATGATATGATTCTGCATGGTCCTTGTTGCAAGGATTAAAGACTCCTTTTTTTTAATTAAAAATCACATCTATATCTATCTACCAATCATCTATCTATCAACTATTTATTTAATGTGTATGTGGTGGAGTGTATAGAAGTGTACCACGGAAGTGCAGGAGCATGAGGTGGCCAGAAGAGACATGAGATTACCTGGAAATAGAGTTACATACAGTTGTGAACAGCCATGTGGGTGCTGGGAACCAAGCACAGCTCTTCTGCAGGAGCTCATAACCACCGACCTGGAGGCAGGGCTCTTTACACAGAGCATGCTTAGCTCCGATTAAATTGACTCTCGGGATTGTTTTTGTGTCATCATTTGAGCTTCATTTACCGGCTCCAGAGGTGTATTCCAGTGGTTCTCCAACTTCCTAATGCTGCAACCCTTTAATACAGTTCCTCAGTTCCTCGTGGTGTGGTGACCTCCAACCATAACATTATTTCCATTGCTACTTCATAACTGTAATTTTGCTACTGTTATGACTTGTAATATAAATATCTGTGTTTTCTGATGGTCTCAGGAGACCCCTGTGAAAGGTCATTCAACCCCAAAGGGGTCTCAACCCACAAGTTGAGAATTGCTGGCCTATTCATTTGGTGCCATTTATGGCATAGGGTTGACTCTACCATATTGCCTCTCATATGCTTTACTCTTGGCTTTCTCAACTTATTTGTGGAATTAGAGGCTTCCTACTCCCACTCAAAAAACTGACAGAAAATGTTACACCGAATTTTAAAATGGAAAAAAAAAAAACCTACAATTAGGACCATGTCTTGATCCAACAATTCCCAGCATTCATCCTGCCTGCACAACTGGTGGGTGTGTGGCCTGGGTACACATCTGGCATGCAGTGAAGAGCTCAGTGAGAATGCATTTGCAGAACTTTGCAGGTCACCTTGGGAAATATCATAGAGCCCATACATGCACAGAGGAAACCAAAACCCAGCCACCCCAAGGTGAGTCAGATGGGGCTGGATGGAGAGAGGGGAGAGCTATTTTACTGATGTCAGCAGTAACCTGACTTATTTCCCAGCCAGAAAGGTGATGACATTGGCACAGGAACAATATCCTACTACTATTTCCCCCCAGGAAGAGGAAAACAGTGGCCAGAGAGAGACAGATCAAGCAGTGAGGCGTACTAGTGATGAGTCCATTTAATGCTATGTTTGAGGAAGTTAACCCCCTTCAGACAGGGAGGACACAGAGCTGGCCTATCTTAGCTCCTACCCACAGAGCAGAAGCACCTTGTCCAGGAACCCAATGGATTGCTCATAGTTAAATTATTTGAAGGAGAGGCCAACAGAGAGCACAAGGAAGAAAGTACTATGCAGACTTTGCCAAATTCTGCCCTGAGAGAGGAAGTTCATTTCCTTCTGGAATGGTTACCTGTCTTTCCTCAAAGTGTTAGGGTGAGTTTTTTGAGGTATTGACTCTGTATTATTATTATTGGTTAATTTTTTTTTTTTGCTACATAAAGTCTCATTTTATTTTTCCAAGGTGATTTTTTTCTTCTGTGTTCATAAAACCATCTCTTTACATGGGCTTTGGTGGCGGTCATGGTGTAGCACTAGCAGGTCTAAATCGTGGTGGGGGTGTTCCATCCTTCCGGGCTTCCTGAGATCAATTCCTGACTACTTGGCTATGAATAACACAGCTCACACAGTAATGCAGCTTGACCCAGAGCTTGGGAAGAACATAAGCATCGAAGACACTTGCTTCGGATATGTCCCTGGCAGCAGCGGCCTCTACAATGTTCCGAATGACGGACTTCTTAATGGCCTTGTCCTTGGGCAGGCACTGGGTGCAGTTCGTGCAGCGAATTGGCTGCACATGGCTGTTGCCCTTTTTGGCATGCCTGTTGTTTTATCTTTTTTTGGTCATCTTGGAGCCAAGACCCGAAAGAGCTATTGGTTAATCCTTTACCAGGAATGTGGATTTTCACCTGGGGGCATTAGAAAAAAAATCCTAGCAAGGGGCCGTGTTGTGGTGGTGTATGCCTTAAATCCCAGCACTCGGGAGACAGAGGCAGGTGGATCTCTGTGAGTTTGAGACCAGCCTGGTCTACAGAGCTAGTTCCAGGACAGCCTCCAAAGCCACAGAGAAACCCTGTCTCAAAAAAGAAAAAAAAAATCCTAGCACAGAGTATAGTCCAATGGAAATAGCAATAGAACAGGACTTGAATGGCTGCAAGGCAGAACACACAGAGCCTGAGAGAAAAATATTACACACAGAGAAAAATATTAACAGATGTTAATATAATAGTAATGTCATTATTTCTATGCATTATCGCAAATGTTTTACCCTAGGCAAGCTACTTGGACTGTCACATACATAAACATGGCTCTCTGGGCTGGAAACATAGCTCAGTAGAGTGCTTACATAGAAAAAAGAATTAAAAATCCAGTGGAAGCTAGATATGGTGGCCCATGCTTGTAGTCACAGCCCTTGGGAGACTCACACAGGAAAACATGAGTTCCAGGTCAGCCTGGGCTACATAATGAGACCCTGAGTCAAAAGAATAAAAAATCAAGCGATTTGGAAAATTTAAAGTAAAAATGGAAGGTGACACACTGTCACTTCCTGCATCTACTGAGCTATTTTATCACCACCTTGTGTGTGTCCCTAAAATACAAAATGGCTTTACTATTACATTGAAATAGATATAATAAAGTTAGGAAATCTGAACACAAGAGTGAGTGGGGTATGGAGCATAATTTATGCTAACACTAAATACAAGCAAACACTAGATTTCCCCCCAGTTTTGTTTTCAGAAATCATAGTTTGGTTTCTACCACCATGAACAACTCCCTGGAGGCCTTGTGAGGTCCATCATCTGCTTGATGAACTCGGCGCAGTAACAGTGCAGGACACAGGGTCTTAGGAAGACAGGAAGTCAGAGGTTACCTGTAGGTTGTATCAACACTCAGGTTGGCTGCAGCTAACTCTGATGGAGGTATCCATGCTGGTAACGTGCTCCCAGCAACCCACTTTGTCCATTCAAATAAGCCTGGCTCGACCCGAATCTTCAAGTGATTGTCTTGTTGTAAACCTTAGGGATAAAGTAAAATGAAGATGAAGGAAGTCTCACGAATTGTCAATGGAAAAAATGAACCATAGGACAAGCTGTTACAAAATTTATAAGGCAGAGCAGGATGTACTGTGCCAGCTTCCAAAGGAGGGAAGTCCTACCCAGCTCTAATGTCTATAACCACAATGATGATAAGCATGGCAAGGTAACCCTAATGGTGTATCAGTGGCATGCTAACCAACAGCATTCTAGTCGGACCTAAGACTGCTCAATGAGAGGAAAATCACACCTGGTGCCAGAAACCAACCAACTACCCGGGGCTAGTGAAGTCATGGATCTTGGGGGAGAACCTGCAATCACCACTTTATTAAACTAGCATAATCCCCAACTATATTCTAAATATTCATCCTTACACCCACAGACAAGTATATTCCTCACCCTTCATCAAGGAAACTTCGATTTGCAACAGATGAAACACATTACAGAAGACCACAGCCAATCAAATGCAGAGTTGTGGAGCCCAGACCCAAAAGATACATCTACAGAACCACACCTAAGGTTCAGGTGAACATTGAGAAAGAGGGAGCAGAAAGTTTGGAAGAAATGGGGCATTGAGAAATTTGCTACAAGAGTGTGTCTCCTAGGAATATCAGAAGATACATCCATAAAGTCTCACAAGCATGAGATAAACAAGGATGAAAACAGCAGACATGATGGGGGAGGGGGATGGCAGAAGCCCACGAGGACTCAGCCCTGCATAAGGAACTGTGGGCAACTGGGGATGCTGAGAATAGCAGAGGAAATACCAGGAAAGAGTATATTGAAAACACACATAGGAGTAGCATTGTACAAACTGAGCAGGTGGTACTTATGTATTTAGAAACATGATGCACATATGTAACAACTGATGGAGAAAGAGTTCATGAGAGAGAGCAGGGAGGGGTGTGTGGGAGAGTTTGGGAGGAGGAAAGGGAGGGGGAAATGATGTAATTATACTAGAGTCTCAAAAAATGAAAAAAAATTGTTTTTAATTACAAGGCAGTGATTCCTTTCCTACTAGACTCAATATATCACTTAAGTTGGAAGCACATAGGTTTGGACAAAGTTTATAAATTTTGTGTTTTACAGTGTAAACTGAAAATTTACTTAGTAAGTAGTTGTACAGCTATACATATAAAGCATTTGTTTAAAAAATAAAATACATTTTTTTTGTTTACCAACATGTGTATTTATTACTCTGGCTGTCCCTTCACCACATATGCCTGCTGTTACCTGATTTAAGAGAAACTCACCCCTCCACAAGTCATTACCCAATTTGTCCAGGCTTGTGACTCTTTTATTGCCAGGGACAAAAAACATCTCACTATGGTGCCCTAGGCTGACCTCAAATTCTCCATCTTCCTGATTCTGCTTCCTCTGGAGTGCTGGATTACAGGTGTGTACAACCACACCCTGCTCATTTCTCTATTATAACCATTTCTAAAGTAAAGTCCATAATGTCTTACAAAACAAAACCCAAAACTCAAGACCTTTCGATGTTCTCATGGCACCCACTACTGTACAATAGCTTACACTGTACTTGAACATCACATAAATTATTGGCCTTGTCTATCAAGGAACCCAGTGTTGAACATGTACAAGTGACAGTGCACAAATCCTGTTTTATCACAGTGTGATTCCCCTGGAGTAGAAATCTTCCCTTTCGGTTCACTAGCTCTCCTTACACTGTCTTTAGTCCAGTTTCTCTGTGCACAGTGACTACACAGATGCCTCTGTACTGGGAAGAAGGTATACTTAAGGCTAAGAACAGAGGATTCAAGTGTTGTGTCAAATTCTTTGCTGGCTTCTTTATTTCTGGCTCATTTGTTTGTCTGACTCAAGTTCAGTCCAACTCCCCGCCTCCAGGCCTCCCCAGCGCCAGTCTTCCTTCCAGTGGGTTGAGAATGGAGATGGCTCTAATGCAAACTTCCATTGATTTCAGGGTGAGAGTTGAGTACTCTTACAGCGATGGTTTTTAAAGCCTTTCCAGTTTGTGGGGCACAGTGGTGTGCACCTTTAATCCCAGCACTTGGGAAGTGGAGTCAGGGGGAATCTCTGTGAGTTTGAGGCCAATCTGGCTAACAAAGTGAATTCCAGACCAGCCAAAGCTACATGGTGAGACCATGTCTCAGAAAGTAAGTGAATAGATAAATAAGTCTTTCCAATAAAGTGAAGAAAGTAAGATGGTAATGATATGGAACTCCTAACAACTCAGCTGCTGCTGTAAACAAAGTCTACAGTGGACCCAACTGCTTAAATGCAAAGAGAGAGAATCATGTCTGTAAAAGGTGTAAGTACTTTTGTACTGCTACAATCCATCCAAGACAGCTTAAAATTCTTAGAGAAAAATTATTAGTATTCCTCCTCTGTCTGGATTATATTATCTGGAGTATGTCTTTTGTGCAAGGTTGGTCACCTTCTGGAAGAATCCTCTATAAAAGTTCCAGATTTTTGTGAGCCACAGTGGCTCAAGCCTATAATCCTTGCACTCAGGAGGCTGCAGGTTTGAGGGTAACCCGAGCTACATATCACCTTGAAACCCTATCTCAAGAAAACAAAACAAAATAAACTTTGAGTTTTTGAAGCTCTGTAACTCTTCAGTAAGTGCCAGGAAACAGAGGGATGAACTACGTGACTGCTGTCAAGCCAAGAGCCTTACCTTTCAATATATTATGTGCAGTCTGAACGCAGCGTAGGGATGG